ACTTTGATGAAAGAGCCACAAGCAGGTTTTTTCCCCCATTTAACAGCACTCTGATGCTGCAGTTTTCAAATCTCACTTCTAATCTCTCTCCATTTTGAAATTTTCCAGTTCAGTTCTGATTACCCACTGCTTATATCTCCCTTAAATCCTTCCTACTATTTATGATGGAGGACAAATTCAGCCAGTGTAATTTTGGCTGGTTCTCCAGCTATTCTTCAAATGGAAGACACTACACCTTCAGTCACAGCCTACCTTTTTATTATTTTTTTAAATATATGTATACATATAAATACAAATAGATCCCAGTCTCCTGTCATAAAAAATGAACACTTTTCTGTTACATATGGTCTATACATACAAAGCAAATCTCAGTGATCTATACATTTAATGGCCACAAAAGTGAAAAACAGTCAAAACTCAGCCTTAAATTAAACAAATTGATTCCCATCTTTGCCCTTTTACCAAAATAATTTACTAAGCCACAAGAAGTAAAAAGACTCAAGGCTGGGATGTCGCACAAGCAATATATTAACTCAGTCGGCAATAAATCTCCCCTTACTCTCCAAGCTCTATACTACTACTTTCTTAAATAGCTCACTATAAAGCCCCAACCTAATTAAAAACAGCTTCCTCTGCAACAGTGGCCTTGATTTCACTTATTTACACATTAACTGCAGCCTCCGTTTGGCCAATCCAGTTTATTCTCCGTTCCACACAGGGCCTTTTATCTGCCCTGGACAGCATTTTCTCCAGCAGATGAAGTAGATGCCGATTGATTTGCTGTCGAGCATGGTAAATTAATAGCAACAAATTGCTGAGGGCCCCATCTCGCTGCTCCACCATGCTTCGGCAGTTTTGCTTTATTTGCTCCATGATGGGCAGCAGTCAGGCCTCTTCAAGTCAATTTCTTCTTAACAACCTGCAATACTTTTCAATGGTGAAAATAGAGCCATTCCTTGTAAGTCAGAAATCAATATCCTATTGCCCTTAGAAAATGCTAAACAAGCAGTATTGGCAATCCACTTGGTACTAGAGGGTATCAGATATAATGCAAATCCATACTGCTTCCCTCCTCGTAGTTATTACAGTTTGCTAAAAGGTTCCTAATGCCATTTATCATCATTTACCATCGACTACTGCAGCTATGATTATGATATCCTATCAGCTAGTAGAGCCCTTTCATTTCTATTCAATTAATATTTTAGCAGCACTCAAATGGTTGTTGGCCAAGTCTCATAATAAAATTTACATGGATTGGAGTGAAAGGGGGGGGTTCTTACTGTGATTTTTTTTAAAAATCATTTTGTTTATTTTTTAATAGCCAGCTTTTTTAAGATCTGAACTTCCTTTAAAAATGCTGGAATATAGCATTTTCTCTAAAAAAAATTTCAGTGGAAAATTTAACTGGAGACAAGACATCTCCATAAACATAATCAAAATGAAATGGGAATTTTTATCCTGTTTATGTTCACCACTCGTTCATTCATAAATGCCTGTGTCTATAGTGAAAAATTGACACTTACTTTAGGCAATAATTAGTAATATTGGATTAAAACAATCAGAAAGCATGCTTGTTTGGAGCAATTTAAATAGATTGATTACCATAAAATTCCCTAGTGCTATAAATGAGATTAAGTGACCGACAAAAAAATAAAACAATACTAAGAATCTAGAACATCTTATTAATTTATACTCACAAAGTATTTTCTTAACTTTTTTCTGTCCCTTTTGAGACAATGTAGCAAGAAACAGACATTTTCAAATTACATACCATTTTTTACCTTTATTGTAATACTGAAATTTAAAGGTGTAGAGCATCAGCTCACATTACAACCCACAACTTTTAACTTTCCATTATTTCTTTTAAATTTGTCTGCTCAGCTCTATTGATTCTGGTGGGATTACCAGAAATTAGGTTAATATTTTAGGCTTTAATGCCTCATGTCACAACATACCCCCAGACTTGTCTCAAACAAAAAAAACAAAAAAAACAAATGACTAATTCAACCAGTCTAATGTATTTACTCAGTTACCAAAATTTAAATTAATTATGTTCTCAAACATAATTGTTAAAAATTGGCAACATTATGCAGGCTTAATTAAGATTAAATCCAATTTACTAAATGTACTTTAATTGGTACTAATTACATTAGCTTTCCTTTCAGAATGACAAATTCCCCATAGGTTTCACTTTAATAGTCTTCTATCAAAATCAACACAGGATGACTGATGATGAGCATCACATGAGGGGTGGGAAAAGTAACTCTCACCCCCCCCCTTCATACACACATGCACACACACTGTCACTGCTGTGTGCGTTTATCCTTTTATCAATTTGCTAAGTCACAGAGTCATGACTCCATCACAGCCATCATTTTCTGTTCCAATGAAAAATTTCTCTAAAAATAAATACTCTGTGGCTGGGAGCAGCCAAGAAGAACAGAAGCTTTAACAGAAAAATGCACAAAGGTTTCAAATATCAGGGCCACCAATTACTAGGGTACTTCCAAGGACTCTAGGGAGTCCTACTCTTGAACCCTTTGAGACGCAAATCTAATAAGTGAATAAGCCTAACCTGATCTTGAGAACTAGGCCCAATTATGCTGCAGGGCAACTTCACTGCATTATTGCCTGCTTTCCATTACAAGGGCATCCAGTGAGTACATCTGGAAAAGAAGCTAAGAGGAACCAAGGCTGTCTGCCTAGGAAAACAAATAAAGACAGATATGCCTCTGTGCTAAAGGGGAAAAAAAGAAAGAAAATATAATAAGTAGGTGGTTTGCAGGGCTGTCTGTATTTCATAATGTGATAAACTGCCCTTGGGATTTTTTTTTTTTTTTTATGTGATTGAATTTAGAAGGCCAGGAAAAAAAAAAAAGAAGGGAATCGCTCAATTTCAAATGGGTAAAATTTGAAGATTAGGGGAGAAGAAGAGGAGAACTTAAGGTGCTGGTTTGAAAGTCCTTCACAGGGATCATAAGGAACAAAATCCATTTGAATATGAGAAACTGGGTCAAAACACTGGTATCATAAGGTGAAATAGGAAATTGTTTGTGGTTGCTAAACCAGCAAAGGGAGAGATGCAACTGATACAGAGCCGAAATAGACTGCAGAATGACAGGAAGCACGATTCTTAGTTGTAATTTATTTGAGTTACCAAAGTATTAAAGTATTTTGTTTAAAGGGTGCAGCATTCATGTTACTAATTTGAACAGGAATGACAATAATGGAAAGTGATGTTCTAATTAAACTCCATCCTTAGTAATCCCTAACTTTACTTTTAATTAAATGTTTAATTTCTCCAGAATACTGTGAACACTCCTGACACTGTAACTGTATATAATTTCTAAAATTAAATATTTAGAGTACAATTACTGATTTCAGGTCTTTGCTATTGTTGCATATTTTTTTTTCTTTGAGGGGGGAGATGCAAGGAAAAGAGTTTACACCTTTAAAAAAAAAACACTAAAGTAAATAACTCTAGATAATTTGCTTTTACAACATGCTTGACTACAATCATTACTTCCTGGTGCTTATGGGAAATTGCTAACTAGGTGGCCAGTAGGTTCTTCGTATTCTTAATGTGCTCATTTTAATAGTTTAGCTTATAAACATAGTCTTGAAATCATCTAATTGTGCATTTAGGATCAGACCCAGAACCTGATGCCCCCAACAGAAATCTTTCCACTGATATCAATGAACTGTGAAAGGCCACCCACCAGTTATGAAAATATAATCTTGTTGTTGCTACTCTCATCCTTCATGTCCTCCTATTCCCTCCAATTGTTAGTTATGCTCATTTATTGAGTCTTAAATTCTGTCCTCACCCTGCATATGTTTAACACTGCATCTGAGTTGCACTACTGAATTCAATTGCAATAGTTGTACATAAGGTTTGCGCACATGCACAAGTCTTTGTAGGATTGGAACCTCAGACTGAAATCTCTTTGGAGTAAGGACTGCCTCTGTGACAAACACTTAGCAGTGTGGCCGTGATCCTGACGGAGGCCTCAGGATATTTAACAGGACAAGTAAATATAAAACAGCATTTGACTCTGTCCTTGCTCTCAACAAGATAAAGAAATCCCATTTAAAAAAACAAGTTTAAAATCCCATGCTTTGCACAGAAATGCGTACAAACCAATTTTATCGTATTCTGGCCTCTTCCATTCACCCATTTCTGTAATTCCATAGATCACATTAGCCAGCAACACTTGTGAATTACTAAAATATTTTCTGCAATGGATTGCCTCCATTAATCCCCAACAAATAAAAAGTTCTGTCGCTAGAAAAAGAGGTGAGATTTTCACTTCATTCTCCTCCCGACTACATTAGATTGAATAAGAAATTCTGATTTCTGCTACTACACTCCATCCCACTGCTTTTGGCTTAACAATGGCATGAGGTTGAAACTTAACATTCTCTCAGCAAGTTCATTTACCCTATAGACATTTGGGAGCTAAACAGACTTTTCCTGATGAAAGTCCAAACAAAGTAGCTTCAAGGGTCCAGCACATGGTTCTGCATCAATCCCTTTTGTAGACGCGGTTAAAATTCTTCCCCTTCCAGTTCAAGTAAAGGCAACAACTCTTTTTCTACACTCCCTTCTATACTACGCTTCTTCCCTTGATGCCTTAGGTGTTCAGTGTGTAACTGTTACTCCAGAAGGTGACAAAGATCAGAGTTTAGACAGACCTGAACCTAAAGCCCTTAGACATCTGAAATAACTTACTCAACTTCATAGTCTCTTTGCAGTAAATGGAAGTAATTTTGTGACGGGGATTACAAAGGTAACAAAACTAAGGTCTATTATTAAAATGGGAATAATATGAACTAGCCCCCTAGGTTCTTATCATACATACACTGAGATTTCAGAACACAAAAAATATTCAGCCACTTACACATGCAAGTAAGTCAAGTCACAGAATACAGAATCTAGATTAACATTAGAAAAAGGACTGATATGTAACATGGTTAGGTAGAAGAAAACGTTTGCCTACCTGCTTATGCATCTCTATATTCAATCCATAGGACATCTCATAATACTGAGAAAGAAGAAAAATTGATTCCATTAGAAATCTGTAATTGTAGAACCGATTCCCAAATTAATTTCAAATCATGTCACATATAGGAGGCATCATATACTTAAAAAGAGATACCAGCATTTGCAAGCTCTCAAAATTTGAATAAGAACTTTACACCACTCAATTTCCCCATCTACTTTTAAAAACTGACATTACTGCTTGCCAAATTTAAACACAAAGACTAAACAAAACAAAACAAAAAAAAATAACAATGAGAATCAAAGATGAGAAGCAGTGAAAATGCATGGAAAATGCTCAAAATTTTGTTCCCTAGCACACATTAAAGATACCAAAAAATGCCCGAAGTACTGGAAACCAGACACTCACATAAATCTGCCATGTAGCCCAGACCGGTTATTCAATATTTTAAATTAAAAACAAAACAAAGCTACAATTAAATCACAGCTTTGCAAGAAATGAAAGAGCAAGGAAATTCAGAATTAAAGCAGACATTCCATTCTTAGTATTTCCTGTTGTGTCTCAGTATTGCAGGAAACTCAGCTCAGTGTATAATGTATAATATAATATCATCTATGCTCCAGTATGTACGCACATCTGCCATAGAAAAGACAAAATGCAAGCCTTAACATGTTTGTCCTTTAGCAAATGTAGGGTTTTTTTAGGTTTATTTATTCCTTCTATAAATATTAGACTTCTGTGACATACAAATGGAAAGCAACTACACCCTCTTTGAAACAAAAGAGCAGATAGCAATAGCTCCTTTGGTGTCATCACGATCCATCATACAATTATGTATTTAAGAGATTTCTTCCTATGCAAGTTATTTAACCAGACAGACCACAACTGTCAAGGAAATCCTTTCTACAGTTCAGCTCACTGACACTCTGAATAAAGCAAAACAGTATGAATCAACAGCTCATGAGCAGCAGTTATTCTAAGAATTAGGACTTTTTACATTTTGGTTCACTCCCTTGACCCTACCTTGGTCCCCTCCCACCTCCCCATACACACGCACATACCATAAAAGAATAAATCTAAAATCATATGGTCGACAAATAATAGCCACAAGAAGGGAGAGAACCTAGCAAAAGTGAAAACATTTTCTTTATCAGTTAATAAAAGTTGCATCCACCTTTGACAGACTAACAGTTTGTCTGTAATTGAGGAAAAATTCCCATATGTTTAAAAGGTAAATTTCAAGTAGAACTTAACCAATATGTGCACACACACACACAAGAAAAAAAAGAGACCCCTGAAACTAAAGATTTATAACGGAAACACTGATGCCACTTCAACAAAGCAGCACTACTATCCTAATCTACCTGGTTACCTCCAAGAATCTGAACATATTCCTATCTTAGTATAACCAAGCTAATATACATTTTGAATTTGTTATGCTGTGCTTACCATGACATAGTGTCGCTGCATCTCTGTCTTCTCACTGGCCAGTTTTTCACATTCTAGCTTTAAGCTGTTCAAGATATTAAAAAAAAAAAATTGAACTTCATAATGCTAGTTTTACATCCTTCTGAACACACATTTATTCCCCTGTCTGGTTATCGTCTCAAAAAATAAAAGAAATTTAAGTTCAAGTTATCTTTTGGGGACAAAGGGGTTTTATTAGTTTCCCTTTACAACAGATGCTGTGCAAAATCCCAATTTTGCAAACCAGCTGTAAACAGTATACAGAAAAAAAAAATTCGCGAACACTCTGGGTCATAGAAAATGCTTGTTACAATGGTCAGTATAAGGAACATTTAAAAAAAAAAATCACCCTACCATTATATAATTTAGTTCCTATTATTATTATTATTAAGTCAATCTTGGGAATGATGTCTTTCTTCCATTCAAAACACAGACAAGTAAAAGGAGTACTGCCACACTCAAGAACAAGAAGATGGGGTAAGGGAAATCCTCCACCCCTCTTTCCCTTTGATGGAAGTGTAACAAAAACACCGCACACCATTTAAGAGCCACTATAGCAAGCATCAAAACCTTCTTTGGCTTTTTTTTTTCTGTTCCCAGAAGCAACCCAATCTTGTGAGAAGTCATTTGTCACTTTAAGAATAAAATGCTCTTCCATCCAAAAGATAATGAAATAGCTCACTAGCTACACTTCCAGGTTATCAGCACACAGCATTTCAACGTAAAGGGGCTGGGTCAAGGCAAGCCATGAGTCTGGAGCAACATTAAAAAAAAAAAAAATCATGCGGTTATCACAGCCAACCAAATCTGTCCTCTTGACCCACCCCAAAAACAGGAAGCAAAAAAACAAAACCAAAAAACGCCCCCCCCCCCACACTTTCCACCATCAACATCTGACTCTCTTTTAAGTCCTCTACTTCTACGCATTTGCCTATGTGCTTCATCCTTGAGGAGCAACCTTTTATTTAGGTCTCAATATCCAAAAGGACTCTTCCTCACTTCAACAGAGACTCACACATTTGGGATTAATTCCTAGGCAGTGCTTGGGTGTTCTCTAATCAAATGTTACAATGTATTTCCAGGAGATGCTTTCAATCTTGCTCAGAACATTTTGAAACCACCCTGGCTCAAATGGTCAGAGCTCAAGACAGTCCCAGTAGGAGGAGGGAGGGGAAATGCTGATTCCCTGAAACGGGGCTATGAACTGGTCTTTTTTCTTGTGGGAAAAAGGGGTGGGGAAAAAACCCCCAACCTACAAGACACCAAAAGAAAAAAACAAAAACAAAAAGAAAAAAAAAAGAAAAAAGAGATCCACACATGTTCACGCCTTGGCAAAAAAAAAAAAAGTGACAAGAGCTAAGCAAACACGAGGATCAGGGAAAGTAAACATCATTACCTGTGGTACTGAGCCTGCAAAAACTGAAACTCCTCCTTAATCCGATCGCAGGATTCGGAAATGGTGAATTTAAAGGGTTGAGCAGGCTGATGAGGAGCCTAAAAACAACCAACATGAAATGTTTTAATTATCCCGCATCTCACGCAGTCCCAGACAGGGGCGCGCAC